GATCTATTGACACAAAAGGAATATAATATTCATAGGTATGTTTTCATTATTAGATAATCACCTGAAAATAAGAATTGTGTTTTCCTTACCTTAGATTGAGCCTGTTATAGAGAGGCTTCGGGTCGCCTTCCATGGAGTCCGCCATGTTTATATAGTGGCCCAGATGGGACAAACCAAACAGTGGCTCTAGATAAGGACGTTTGTGTTTTTCGTGTGTTTTGTGGCCACCGTAGTTTCTCCTTCGCTCTTGGAAGGGGAGAGTGAAGCGATGAAATTGCGATCTTCGACTACACCGCTAGATGGCAATAAATCCGATCAGGTTTTCAGTTAGTTAGTTTAGTCAGTTAGTATTTTTAATTTGAGTTTTTTTGTACAATAGTTTAGTTTGTGACATTCCCAAACCAAACTGTACTTTGTGTTAAAAGCTAATGCGAGCAAATGCTAGCATGCTAACATCTAAACCAAGTGTGAACCTTATCATATACAGTATACTGTCAATGATCTGAACTAAAATTGTGAACATGGTAAACAGTATAAATACCTTAACACCAGGATGTTTGCATAGGGACATTAGCATTTACTTCAAAGCACCGCTGTGTCTACTGTAAGACATTTTATGGAGGCACTGGCATAGCTGTAGACTGATTTCACTCCATAATTCCATTGTTTCTCTATTACATACACGGATCAGCCATGACATTATGACCACCTGGGCACCCTGGTGGTCATAGTGCCGTCCTATATGCAACAAACTGCAGACGGGGAACACCCCACAAGAGCTGACCCAGTCGTCTAGTCGTCACAATGTGGTCCTTGTCAAAGCCCCTCAGTTCCTCACGCTGCCCATTTTTCCTACTTCAAACACATCAACTTTGAGGACAAAATGTTCACTTGCTGCCTAATATATCCCACCCACAGACAAATCCCATGATGGCGAGATAATCAGTGATATTCACTTCACCTGTCAGTGGCCGTAATGTTGTGGCTGATCGGTGTATGTACATTCATCCAGTGATTCGCAGGAATAAGAGAAATACATATAGAAATCTAAGGTATATCTACTAGCTGTGGTGCTGTTAGATGTTTTGGGTTTGACGTTTTCTTTTATTAGTTTGTCTTTATTTGTCACTTTAAGATAAACACTTTTTTTTATCAACTTTACATCAAAGGCAGTGGATGGAGGTTGTTTCAGGCTGTAATAAATCGACTAGTTGATGGAAATGTTCCCATTTCTGGAGTCTTGGCCACAGGCTGCAGCCCATCATCACGATTTCGCAGGCAGAAATGAACCAGTGGGACCATCATTTTCTGCTGGAAATCAGCATTAGTGTTACTCATCCTCATGTCTGGTCTTTCGGTGCTTTGGGCAAGTTGTCTTTGCATTTTTGCATCAGAGTTTGTTTTTTAATTTGTTTTGGGACACAGCCATATATTTGTAACCAAGAAACCAGCGTCAGTTCGCTGCTCACATCCAAAAATAATCCATAACAAACAGCATTTTATAGCTACTGTCAGGTTTTAATTTGACACTCTTTGATGAATTTAGGTTTTGAAGTGTGTGACAGTGTGAACTATATTATTCATGCAATGAAATTATTAACACTTTGATGCTTGATGGAGACGAAAGCAGAAATCTTTCTTAGCGCACAGAAACGCGCTCACAAACACAGTCAGGCAAACTCAAACTCAGGCAGAGTCGTGATAAATCAACCGTGTTCTGCAGTGGCCACCTCCTCACAGACTGCAAGGCCTCCATTCACTGCTGTCACACAACCCAAACAGATGAAATAGGAACAGTAGTATACCCTACCTCAGCACCTCACTCAGTGACAGTTGGATTAACTAGTTAGGAAAGTTATTTGTCATGTTGGTTTCAGTGTGTTTGAATTATTAACTACAATGTAGGACAGAAAAGTAAAAAAGTTCATAGGCTCCATTCACAATTAGTAGCTAGTTAAAAGTTATTACATTTGAGCATCTTTGGGATCAGTACTCAGAGGATATGTACAATGTCTTCTAAATGTGTTATTTTACTTTAATGTTTCAATTTTTTAAAATCTTGATCTGAATATCGATAAACTTTAAAATACACATTTAATAGGACTTCATTCAAGGACGAATTCTGACTAACTTTATTTATGATTATAGACTAATTAACAGTAAATATGGCCATGATTTAAGTATAGCACATTAAAAAGCGCAATTTAGGGCATGTCCAGATAATTTATGCACCACATTTGGTAAAGATTTGGCAAAATTTGAAGGAGAAGAAGGGGGTGAACCTTTCTATATGCCGGACCGTCTGTTTTATACCTTACAGTTCAGGATGAAGTTCAACAGTCACATGGTGGTGCTGTTCAGAACAAAACAAGCCTCTTTTTTTTTTAGATAACCTACTAACATTTATATGAGATATGACCAGCGTCTGAATTGCATTGTATCCACCTGTTACATAGCAGTGAGTGGCATGAATCAGGAGCCTGTAGTCACAATGTTTCCACTGCTCAGCACCACAGACCTTCAGTCCCTCGTGGTAAAGCTGTCAAGGCGCTACAGAAAGGCAGGAAATCACTTAACTTAATTTTATTGCACCCTTTGTTGCCTTGGAAACTAGTTGGAAATGTGCAGCTCGGCAGCTGTTTAATCACCCCGCCCATCACTAACAGAACTCCTCCATTCATCCCCACACCTCCAAATGAAAAGTTTAATCTTGGACTCTTTAAGTTAGTTGGTTCTTCCTTTTTACCGACAGACTGACACAAACACAGACACTTCACATGGAAACCACAGTACTTGTGAACTAGTAAGGTAGTAGTGTTATGATATATCATTATGACAACCATAAAGACATTGAAATAACTGGGTCTTAATCTGTTCAAATGCTAATGCTGATTAGAGATATTACTATAACATTTTGTCCCATCCATAAACTCATTAGGAGCAGATGGATTACTGTGTTTTTAGCTGTTTATCTTTGATGTACATGAAACACGTATTTATGAATTAGGAAAAAGTGATGTAATTATTGTCTTCCATTTCTAGACAATAGAGAGAAGCAGAAGCCTGAATATCTGATTTAAAATGTCATCAATCAGTATTTCAACATGCAATTAGGCTGGCGTCTTTATCTTGGCAGCCGTAGCAGTCACCCTGTCTGCACTCGGACTAACTGGTGCTGTCTGTGGGTTCCTCCTGGCAGGTTTGGTAGAAACTGGTGGCGTTCTTTATGTTAAGTCGAGTCAAATTTTATTCATACAGCCCAAGCCCACAAATCACAATTTGACTCAGGGGGGCCTTTACAATCTGTACAGCTTACGAATCACTCTGTCCTTAGACTCTCTATTCAGGTAGGGAAAGCCTCCCACAAAAAAAACCTCAAAACCTTTTAAGAGGAAAAAAATGGGTGTGTAGTGTGTGTTTGTGCAGCAGGGTGGAGATGTCAGCTTAGATCAACTCAGACAAGGATCCTGCTTCGCTTGTGTGAGCTCGCTGGTCTGTTCCCATCGCCTCTGACAAGGAGGATGGATGAACATGACTGCACAGTTACATGTTAACCTCTGTTACTGTAGCCTGTGTGTGGATAGAGGAGACAGCTGTTCCTCATTTTCTCATAAAACTGGAAAACAACAAAAACCTATACTGTAGGTGTTCCCTTTTTTTAAGGGCTGGGTATCATTTCAGTTCTGATACCAACACAGTACTTTTTCCGATACCTTACTTTGAGAAATAGGACACTTTATAGCCTCAGTAGGTGACCTCCTTTTTAGTCCAGAGGCTGAGATACAACAACTATTGGATGGATTACAGATATCAATGGTGCCCAGACGATAAAATCTTATAACTTTAGTGACCCACAGAAACAACCAATCCTGTAAAACTAATAAGCTAACATTCGTATAACCCTTTATGTTTGCTGCTAATTAGCAAATGTTTGCATGCTAAATTAATAGTGAACATGGTAAACATTATATATTAACATTGTTAAATGTTCATCAGTGATAATTACTGTACATCAGATTTGAGGTATTTCCTTATTGATTTAATGGATGAACAGCCCAAAACCCAAAGAAATAAAAAAAAAATTATATTACATAAGATATGGTAACATTGAATTTATTTTTATTTTTACTCCAAAAATGAATTAAAAAACAAATACATAGAAAATAATCCTGTTTTCCTGATTAATTGACATATTGTTTATTGCTCCCATGATACTAATTTGACTGACTTTATTTATATGTACAGTAATTGTAAGTAATGCAGTTATATTTATATAGCACATTGGCACACACAGATAATCAATAAAGGGTTATGACAGTTACTCTGCAGGTAATCTGACAATTAATTGATCGAATGTCTGAAAATAGTGAAAAACATTTTTGTAAAGCTCAAGGCTCTTCAAACAGCTTGTTTCCTTCAAATATATCAAATATACAGGCATATTTAAGAGATTCTCACATTTGAGGAGCTGGAACAAGACACTGTTTGACATGTGCTTAATAAAGGATTTTAACAATCAATTGTCGAAATAGTTGCTGATTAATTTTCTGTTGGTCGCCTGATCATTTCAGCACTAGAATCTTTAATCAATAAAGACTTGAGCCTATATAATACCAACAGACCTACAGGTTAAATTACAGTTGTACCGGGGCACATCTTCAACAAAACACTTCTGATAGAGAAATGTTTCTTAATCCGTCCCTGATGAAATATCTATACTTTCTCTGATGTCAACATGTTTTAGGGATTATGTCACTTTCCAATTACCCCGCTTTTATGAGCTGCAGTTTCAACGCTTTCCACATTTTGCAAACTGGATTTCCTACTTCAAAGAGAATGATTTCTGGGTCACACTTGTAGACTTTGATACATTTTGAGCAATGAATGGAAATTGTAAAACAAGTCTGTATTTTCTTATTTGAGGCCCCGGTAATCAGAGTCTTTTGTTGATTCCTGTGCTGCCATGCTGTGAGCTAATTTTTAGCGTTTTTCTCCCTCAGACATGACGACTTGAAGGAGATGTTGGACAGCAACAAAGACTCCCTGAAGCTGGAGGCAATGAAGCGGATCGTGGCTGTGAGTATAAATAATGTTTACTTTGGGATGTAACTGATCAGCAGGTGTGGCTGCACGTCGAGTGAAGGACAAAGCCTCGGAAAGCTTTGAGAAAAGCTGTCATTATGTACCACGCACACAGCATGCAGCATTAATTCAGACACCCGTAAGGACCCAAAGCTTGTTCTCTGTACTGACCTTGATTTCATTGATTGATCATTTTGATGGGAAAGATCTCAGTATAACAACGCTTCCATGAGAGAGGTGGATCACATTAAAACTGAAACTGTAATAGACTTAAACCGAAGGTGGTTCTGAATGATGTAACTACAGCGGTAAGAGAGACAAAGTGCGCAGTCAGCTGTTAAATATTCACAATCTGTGTCAGATTCTTCCACACCCATCTCTTCATTCATCATCCCTGCAGGGCTGAGGAGATGAAAAGGGAGCAAAAGCATGAAAAGGAGCTGGAATAAAACTTTAAAAAGCTGCAAGTGATTGAAACTCCTCAAAACTTGTCACTTTATGAAATCCTTATTTCTCATTAGTGAGTGTGTGTGTGTGTGTGTGTGTGTGTGTGTGTGTGTGTGTGTGTGTGTGTGTGTGTGTGTGTGTGTGTGTCTGTGTGTGTTTTCTCTGCAGATGATCGCCCGAGGTAAAAATGCATCAGATCTGTTCCCTGCTGTGGTGAAAAATGTGGCCTGTAAAAACATTGAGGTTTGTGATGAACCCAGTTTCATTTTGCTTCATGTATTATTTGCTCCTTTTCTGCAATTTGTGTAGTTTTATGTGGTATAAAAGTTGCTTTATGCCCTTAAGGCTTTTTCTTATTTAGCTTGCTTGTAATTTATGCATGATCTTATCACATTTTTAAAAGCCCCGAGGGGGTTTGGCTTTATCTCACCTGAACAAAATTGCAATTTTCCGCTCCTCTTTTTAAGGTTTTTATCACTTCGCTTTTTTCTCTTCACTTCAGATTTATCTCTGTGAAAATAATTGAACTAATCTACATAATTTGGATTAAATCAGTTTTTTTTTCATTGGCCTGTTTCCCTCTCACTGCTCCTCCTTACAGGTGAAGAAGCTGGTCTATGTTTACTTGGTGCGATATGCCGAGGAGCAGCAGGATCTCGCTCTGCTCTCCATTTCCACGTTTCAGCGAGGGTTGAAGGTACAGCAGTTTTCATAAGTGATAGCTCCTTCAGAATTGTACTTTTTGACATCAGAAAGAAACACTGAGGGTGTAATGATATAAAGCTCAGAAAATAACTGTATTAATATATATGTTTAATAACTGATTTACTGTATGTGTTTAGCCATGAGCTTCTAGGTTACTCCAGATTAAAATATATCAACAATGATTGGAGAGCCATGGAATTTTGTGCAGACATTCATGGTTCCCAGAGGATGAATCCTACATATTTTGGCGATCCACTAATGTTTCCTATAGTGCCACCAGGTTGACCTTTATGGTTTTGAGGATGGATTGAATTTATCCTCGGGGTGTTTTGAAGATATCCAGAGAATAAATTCTAATAACTTGATCCCTTTTATCAGGCCCAAATTTTAATTTATAATACTTTGGTTTACGATCAAATTCCTGCAAAACTAATGACATTCCCATCAGCCTCAGTTGTGTTCTGTGATAATTATAATTAGCAAATGCTATACTCTAATCAGCATGTTAATACTGGCACTGTGAGCATTTAGCTCAAAGCACAGAAGTACATCCTCACATTGCTGTAGTCTCACATTTTGGAATGAACCACGTAAGTCAGCCACAAAAACCTCGTCAAGAAGCAGTGATATTGCTTAAGAAATTCATGCTCTTTACTTTTACAGGATCCCAACCAGCTGATCAGAGCCAGCGCCCTGCGAGTTCTCTCCAGCATCCGAGTCACGATCATCGTCCCCATAATGATGTTGGCCATCAAAGAGGCTGCTTCTGATATGTCCCCATACGTCAGGAAGACAGCTGCTCATGCGATTCCTAAACTCTACAGGTAACTTACTGATACTTATTCAGTACAGAGGCCCCAAATACAAAGCAATACATTTATTCATAATTCCCTGTTTTGGGTGTAAAGACAGCATGGTCAACTCTGACATGAAATGTCACTTACTACTTATTGATATTTATTGGAAGATGCCTACTAGTTACATATGTTATTGCTTGAACATTTTTGAGAATTTATCATTCAGATCAGAGTCCTGATCCCCAGTTTGAGAACCACTAGACTAAGACTAATGTTGTTATGACTTAATGTCATAGTGATATTTAAACCCTTTATGACAGTAAAAGGTATCTTCCAGAAATCCATCACTGCTCTCGCAGTAAAATCCATTTGTTTTATACTTGAGAGTAGGGTTTATAAGGACAAATGATTCCTAACTCTTTATACAACGTTTCTTGTTTCATGCATTTGAATGATTTATTCTCCTTTGCTGACAGTTTGGATCCAGAACAGAAGGACCAGCTGATTGAAGTTATAGAGAAACTCCTCGCTGACAAAACCACGGTGGGTTTTTGCACCACTGATCCAGTATTTTTCCACCAGATTTCTTATTAACAAATGCAAATACGAGTTTGAAAAACACAGAATGCGCAAAACATCCGAACCAGCTTCTGTGCGCAGCACCAGATTGCATTCAATGCCTCAGTTGTTTCAAGGCTTATCATTTGTTTAAGCAGTCTCTCTCTTCACATTGCTGCTGCAGTTGGTGGCAGGAAGCGTTGTTATGGCATTTGAGGAGGTGTGTCCGGAGCGCATTGACCTGATCCACAAGAACTACAGGAAGTTGTGTAACCTGTTGATCGACGTGGAGGAGTGGGGGCAGGTCGTCATCATCAACATGCTGACTCGCTACGCCAGGACCCAGTTCCTCAACCCAAACATCAATGTGAGTAAGGAACGGGTTTCAGTCCCAAAAATGTTTGTCGGTTTATAAAAGTGTAACCTCTGCTCACTGACTCAGTAGTATATAAGGTGTATTTATTTCTTCTATGTGATAACACATAACACAGTGCACATTTCTTAGAGCCCAGTGTGATGTCTTAAACTTGCTTGTTTTGTCTGACCAACAATAAAAAAACCTAAAATATTAGATTCTAGTAAAATAAAACACACAAAAGCAGCAAATCCTTACATTTGTGAAGCTGCAACAAGTCAATCTTTGGCAAATTTTCCCTGTTAATTGACAGATTCAATTGGCAATCGATTTTAAAGATTAATAAATTATCAAAATTGTTGTCGATTGTCTTTTTGATGTATCAAATAATTCCAGCACCACAAGCAACTGTTAATATATAGCTCGCACAGCCATATTTACAATACTTTTTCCTCAGTTTTACTCCCTGTGTTTTTTAAAAACACTGTGTGCACTGTATACCATATCAGTGAATTTGATCATATAAAAGACTATATACTGTAAGTGTTTAATTCATTATTGTGTGGTACAGAGGTCCATGCGAACTAATATAACTAAGTTTACTCATGTGTTGTCCCCAACAAGTAATTTGCATAGGAATAGGATTTTAAGATATTAGTGTGCAACAGAAATGTGCATTTATTGCAATAACACAACTATTATTTTGTTGGATTAATTATATTCTTTCAGTTGTGCCATTGTGACTGTGCAGAGGTACAAAATGAAACTATTCCACCATTATTGTCCTCTTTCAACGTTGCCAACTTTTTTAATCAGTTTTTCAGACCCACCTGTCGGCTTATTTTATCATAAGCAACCAGGAACAAATTGAACATTATTATTGTCTGCTTTTACAATTTATGCGGTGACAAATACAACAATTTTGCACTCCGTGTTTGTCTAACGAGGAGGTCTAATGATAATTCTTCTCATACACAGTGTTTCCTCTTTCTTACCGGCATATAAATATATTCAAGAGCAAATTACCATCTGGTGACTTCCAGAGACTTTTTTAACAGCTTTCCATGCAAGAACATTTCCTTAGCGTGTTTGTCCCCCAACACACAGTTTAATCCCTGCTGTCTCTGTAGGAGTCCCTGCTGGAGGAGGGAAGCGGAGGGGACAAGACGTTCTACGGCTCAGATGAAGATGAGGACGAGGATGAGGAGGAGAAAGAAAAGAATGCAGAGGCTCCTGCAATGGCCAAGAGGAAGCCGTATGTGATGGACCCAGACCACCGGCTGCTGCTGAGGAACACCAAGCCACTCCTGCAGAGCCGCAACGCAGCTGTGAGACCGCTGCTCTTTGGCACATCAGTATAACACACAGCCCATTAGCTCTTCTTCTGAGTCAGTTGCCATGGTAGAGATAATCACTCTCTCTCCAGCATGATTCCACATTGAGCAGCAGGTCGGTGTTGTGAGTAGCTGAGGTCTTCTTAACAAGCAGCCGTCCAGCTGAAGTGTCCCTGAGCAAGACACTTAATCAGAGCTGACCTCTCCCTCTGAAATAGGGACAAGTGATAATTTCCCAAAGGAAATTAATTAATCATCACACTGCATTAGTGCTACTGTGGTCACCTTGGAAGGCCTGTTTTGATTCATGTTAGATGATATGAAATTCACCCGTCACACATTATTCTGCCTTTGTACCGCTGTAATCGAGCTTGTTGCTTCAAGGCGGTTCAAGATTAACTCTGTTCCTCAGACAACAAATGTGTTTCCTTATCTTGCATTTAGTTTATACGTCTTATTGTTTGCCTGTTAAGTAATTAATAAATGGTTTCCCTTTGCCCTGCTGTCTTTAAATAGTTCAGTTGTTGTTACCTTTGGTAAAATGCCACATACATGTGCTTCTTAGGGGGAAATTGGAAGTAAAAACCTCCCACTACACGTACTACTTAAAGCCTTTATAGCCAATATTTTTATATTAACAGTATATCAATGGAAAAAACAACGTGACAGTATGAAAGGGGTCGCTTGTTGAGATGAACCTATGGAGAATTATCACACTCAGCTATATGGAGCTTCATAGTGAGTATTGTTATGGAGAAAAAGCTCTAAAAACCCACTGTACACTAACCTGCTCAGTACCAAACGGCAGGCAGGCACAGTTAGAGACTAGCTGACAAACAGACCTAAAAGATAGTGAATACTGGATTCATCAGGTGGAAACAAAACTTGTAGTTAATGCTAATGTTGCTGCATTTGCTTCCACATTCACCACATCTTTATATTCTAATCAATATTGTGTTTAACTTTCTGTCTGACCAAAAAAAAAAAACTGTGAATCCAGGTTTAACTTTTGTGCAATATGCCGATTGAGTGCTTAAAAGACCTAAAAAACACACAAAACCCTTTCTCTTGAATGACTTGCCAGATTATTTCTTGTGATGAATTTTAATCTTCTCACTTTTAGCTGAGCGCTGTAAAAAGAGTGCAAAACTTTTATTTGCTTTAGTTCTTTCATTCATATTCAGCACATCCACATCTACACCGCCACATACGGCAGTGTAAGGCCGAGATACATTGATAACTGACTGAACTAAAAATTAATGAATTTCCGATGGAGAACAAAGTATTGAACACAATACTCAGAGGGACGATATAGTACATTCAACTTTTTAATGCATTTTATATTGTGAGATTGTATTACTGGTGATCACTTATCCCTCCTGACTGTTTTCTCATTCCAGGTTGTAATGGCTGTGGCTCAGCTATATTTCCATCTTGCCCCTAAAGCAGAAGTTGGGGTGATCGCCAAGGCCCTGGTCCGTCTCCTGAGGAGCCACAGGTGAGTTTTACTGTCTATAATTTATACGATGACAACCGCTCCACTCGGCTAAATCTCTCTGAAGGTGCTGGAAAGCTCAATGTGTTTAAACTGATAGTAAAGATTTCTGTCCGTGGATGCAGAAATACTTACTATCAGTACTGTTTATAATTTGAAATAAACTGTCTATTCATATTGCTATACCATAGGTTTTGGTTGCACTGTATTCCAAAATGTATCGCAGTGTAGTCTCGAGCCATCTCACTGCGTTATTGTGGCTGAGAATGGAGCTAAGCTTGAAAATAATGAGAGCTGCGTTCAAGAAACTCACTTGGAAAGGGACAAAAAACAAGTTGAAGTGCCAAAAGAAAAAAATGCACAGCTGAATGTGATAAGAGAGAGCCGTAATGACCATGAAACTCAGCGAAGTGGAAAACAGTATGACAAAAACAAAAGACAAGTGAGGGTAGTAAAATAAATCTCCACAGCCCCGAAGCAGGAAGTGAAATTAAACAGGGAGCTCAGTGAGGCTGAGGTAAACATGAAAGCATAAACCATAAGGAGTGATGATGGCACATAGTTGGCCTCTTGGCTGTAAGTCCTGCAGACTGTCAGCTTCTTATTGAACAAGTGCTCTTGTGGTTCTGGGTTTGCTGTAATGGGATCATCACTCAGCAGCAACCAAACAGCAGCATCTCTCTGTGGGGGGTTTGTCAGAAATACATTGTACTGTACAATATTATACTTAATTATTTGTATGGAGTCGGAGGTGTCTCATTACAACCACGTTGATTAGAAAAAATATCTAGATGTTTGACAAGAAAGCTAGTTGAAACCATTTGTATTGGTCTTGTTTGTGTACTAGACCGTCCACAAACAAACGCAGATGTAAAGTTTACAGCAAACTTTTGTTAGAGTAGTTATGGCAGAAAGAAGCTTTATGTGGTTTACTTGGACTTCAGTAGTTTGCTTTTTCTGACTCAGGAATGGGCAGAATGGGGAAAATAAAGAGAAAAGCTTTGCCGCATTATGAGTAGTAAAAGATAAGATGATTAAAAATATGAAAGTACATAGATTATAACGATAAAAATAAACATAAATTATAAGATGATAAAAAAATAAATGCATAAAAATAAAGTCTTCAATCTAATTTAAAGGTTAGTACAGTCAGGCTTTATTGATTCATCATTCATTCATTCGTTTTACTCATCTCAGCAGGTCTTTAGCGCATTTTAAATTTATACATTGAGCATTTATGTAAAAAAAAATCCAATGAACTGACCTTTAAGAGCACCACACTGCTTTTGTTATCCAGTGTAATAAATAGATGTATTATCAACAACAGTGTGATTGTTTAGCACCCACATATGTTAACTAGCTCATGTATTTGCTGTTGAATGAACTTTTCCTAATTATAATGTGGCCACAGGGTGTCTCAGGTCAAGTAGACAAGGAAGGAGAAGGGATTGACACTTTATTGAATCGATCCTACTCTGTTTCTCCATCCATCTCTCCTGTTTCTGTCTCCTCCTCCAGTGAAGTCCAGTATGTTGTTCTTCAGAACGTGGCAACAATGACGATTAAGAGAAGGGTGAGCTACACCTGGTGGTATTTATGTTGTTTGTGTGTGTGACTTGAAATCAAATGCTGATGGAGCTGCAGATTGACTGAAGTTTGTTCTCTTCCTGTCTCACAGGGAATGTTTGAACCATACCTGAAGAGTTTCTACATACGCTCTACAGACCCAACCCAGATTAAAGTCCTAAAGGTTGTTTTTTATTCTGTTGTGCTGTCATGCCTTTTTGTTTAATCTAAACACTGAATCAGTGGAAGACTATTCATTCTCTCAACTACTGAGGCATGGTATATATATATATATATATATATGGTATGTATATAGACAGTATATATCGGCAGCTTATTTTATCCTCAGTTATTCTGAACCCACTCACACTTATTATAGCATTTCATGGAACAAGTGCAAGAGCAATTACATGATTTTAAGATCTTAACTGAAAAAAGCAAGTACAAGTACTAATTGTAATCATAAGAGTCAGTTTGGTGAACAGGTAATTTATTTTAACCATTGTGAATGGTAAGAAACAACAATGTTGAACACTCAACCAAAGGATGTCATGCCTAATCAATTCCCATGAGAGTGAAGCAATTTCTAAGATGTAGACATCAATGTGAAAATGCAAAATGTACAATTTTAAAAGTGCAGTCTTTGGCAGGAAAAAGCTATACAGTAATTACTGTAAATAGAGTTTTATATTCCCCTTTTAAATTGTTTCTGCAGTATTGATTCTCTTTTTTGTCATTTGCAGCTGGAGGTTCTCACCAATCTGGCCAATGAGACAAACATTTCAACTATTCTCAGAGAGTTTCAGGTACAGTGAAACAGAACATGGGATGTTTTGTGAAGAGCGAGGAGAGACTGGCCTTTATGTATTACTGTACTGATTGAGTATGTTTTTACCGGCAGACATACATTAAAAGTATGGACAAAGACTTTGTGGCTGCCACAATCCAAGCCATTGGCCGCTGTGCTACCAACATCGGGGAGGTGAGGGACACGTGTCTGAACGGGCTGGTGCAGCTGCTGTCCAACCGAGACGGTAAGTCGTATATAAATATTGCAGTATGTACAGTAGCAGTATCGGATATTTGGTTAATAGGGTAATTTAATCAGTTCATCTTCATTTGTAAATAATAAAACAATTTGAAGCAGAAGATAACACATTTTAGAAGATCAGATAAGACTGAGATCTCACATCCCTAAATAATTTAATTTAACTTTAAAACTAATTTAACTTAAGTCAACTTTTTAACAAATAATGAGTGAAAATGGAGAACTTGTTTCAGAGAATGAATAAGGGACTGAATTTGAACTGCATCTCAATTCACTGTTCATTTGTGATTTCAATGAGCAACTCTCCTCCTGTTGTACAGAGTTAGTCGTAGCTGAGTCGGTGGTGGTTATTAAGAAGCTGCTGCAGATGCAACCGGAGAAGCACAGCGACATCATAAAGCACATGGCGAAACTAACGGACAACATCCAGGTGAGGGTTTCACTCACAAAGTGCTGTCATTGTCTGGCTTTAGAGCTTCTGGTTAAAGGAAACAAGAGGTTACATTTATATTTTTATGGTCCTTTTGGATTTTAATTTTGCACGTAAAAGGTCGTGGGCCCTGTCTAGTACCAGTAGAAGAGGTATGTACACAACATTTTAATTTAATTTGAATTGTTCTCAGGTGCCGATGGCGCGGGCCAGTATACTCTGGTTGATTGGAGAATACTGTGAGCATGTACCTAAGATTGCCCCGGATGTCCTGAGAAAGATGGCCAAGTCATTCACTAACGAGGAGGACATTGTTAAGCTACAAATCATCAATTTGGCTGCCAAGCTCTATCTCACCAACTCCAAACAGGTATGAATGGCATGTTTTTCTATCACTAGTATTTTAAAAGATGAATGACTTAATAGTATTTGCAGTGCTACCAAGATTCAGTGCAGAAACAGACATATACTATTATATTGTAATAATTGTGATATACCAGGCTAGCTTGGGCTAAAGGAATAAAACACAACTTCAATTATTCCTGTACTCGTCTACAATACAGCAGAAAACGGAAATACTTAAGTTAAGCACAGTACTTGAGTGAATGTGCTTATTTTCTTTCCACTAAAAACACAGCAACCACCTAGCAACCCTCTATCAATGATTCAGAACACCATAGTCACCACCTATAGCAACCACCTAGCAACCCTCTATCAATGATTCAGAACACCATAGCAACCACCTAGCAACCCTCTATCAGCTACTACTACTAAAAGTGTGCATCTTGTTCGTACCACAGAGAATCTCTCCCACAAAGAAAGAAATAACTTTGTGTAGGCCAAAATTAAGAATTTGTCATAGACAGCGTTTGATAAAGTTTATAAAGTTTCTCCTCACTCAACTCTCAAGCACCCATCCACAAACACAAACACACACACACACACACACACACACACACACACACACACACACACACACACACACACACGGCGCATAAACACATCAGATAATAGGTATTCTTGTTTGTACTGTCTTAATCCAACACGTCCTTCATATTCTTTCTTCTCGCAGACCAAACTTTTGACGCAGTATGTTCTCAACTTGGCCAAGTACGACCAGAACTACGACATCCGAGATCGAGCGCGCTTCATTCGGCAGCTCATCGTACCCACCGAGAAGAGCGGAGCCCTCAGCAAGTACGCGAAGAAACTGTTCCTCGCCCTCAAACCTGCACCAGTCCTCGAGTCTCCATTTAAAGGTACTGAAGCAATTTTAAAATCCTCGGTTGATAACGGCTTAGAAAGAACTGAAAGCTAACACAGTCACTATAATTCTTGAGACAACCAATAAGGCTTTCTTATCGACCCTTTTGGCCTAATAATGATGAGCGGTTGCAGCAGTGGCTGTGACACACAGCTCATAGAGGCAAATCAGGTACTTTAAAACTCTTAACATCATCAAACAACTCTGTCTCAGTCATAACTACGTAAAATATGGATATACACAGATGAGATAGATCTGCTTAGAAATCCTAGAAAAAATATGCTCATCGCTCCAGAGCTTGCCTGAGAATCCATATATTTTTAGGTTTTCTTCAGTGTCAATGTAATCCAGTGATAGCTCTCTGTACATTCATGGATACATTGCAAGAGGGAGCAGCTAATAGCTAATTCGACATACTTTTAATGGTGGCAATTTCCAAAATGTAGGCCACAGCTAACTAACTAACTCCTACTTAAATCACCCGAAGCCTTCAAATTATTGGAACTGTATGTCCAGAAATTAGAGCACGATTACCCCCAAATAAACGAATAATAAGAGGTGTAACAATGTACCCTTTGTGTTTCATTTAACTCTGTTTGCCCATGCAGATTTACATTCACGGTTCCTTTTTTGTGCTTTTGCAGATCGAGACCACTTCCAGTTGGGTTCATTGTCCCACTTGCTGAATGCCAAGGCTGGCGGCTACCAGGAGTTGCCTGACTGGCCTGAAGCTGCCCCAGACCCCTCCGTGCGCAACGTGGAGGTGAAGGATTCTGTGCGTGCAGTGGGAACAGTAACATTCAGAGACACAGGGGGCCTCTGGGATCTCCAGGGGCCCCAAAAGGTGGAGGGGAGCGAGTGTTGCTCCTGCCCCAGAGCAGTGCCTCAGAGGGGCTGCACAGAGTCACCAGAGCCTCACATCCAATATAACATTAACTCCAATATAACATTGATTCCTCTTTCACTAGCCATCTTTCATTCACTTACAGCTCATTAGCATTAACAGCTCATCTGTAACATACATCCTTCTCGGCCTGCATCCATATCCAAATGGATGGTGCTGTACTACTCACCCCCGCCCTCCATGGAGGAGAATGAGTCACAAAGGAGAAAAGAGGATTATAGCCTCTATTTAAAAACTTCTGATTCACAATGAAAACAGCCAGCGGTATTGAACTCCTCGCCCTCTCTGCTGCACTTGTTTCTGTTCGGCAGCAGCTCACTCGCCCCATCCAGGTGATTTTTCACCAATGTTTGACCCAATAGCACATGTGATACAAGAGGGACCAACAGCAGCAGTAAACCACTTCCCTGTGGTCTCTGCTAGAGGTCAACCTAAGAGGGGGTTTTAAGACTCGTTGATATTAGGCATCTAATCTATTTACATTTTAGTAGTAGAAACACAACTTCTACTCTACTAGACTACAGCTGAACAAACTTTAATTTGATCTGAGGGTACACAATACATCATCCCAACTCACCAAATTCCCTCCTCTTCTTCTCCTTCACATTCAGCCCATGTGCCATCGGTTCATACCCAACAATGTGATCTAAATGAAAACATGAAATCAAAACTTGAGTGCATCACTTCTTTGTCAAAATCAAGATTTTACTTTAAAACCACTTGATTTTAAAGTTCAGGAGTGACTGCAAGTCTTGATTTTGTTGTCATATTTGTTATAATTATTGCTATTAAGGTGTTTTTTTACTCACAGCTCAATGTCCCATACCCAGTGTTAACTTTTCATTTACTTGTGATGCGGATTTCAAGATGAGGCCACAGGTGCACTGAGTTTTTATTTAACAGGTGGTACACAAGAGACAGGCTTGTAAACGACCATACCAGGAGTTTAGTACGTGATATGCTAAATAAGAAAATTAGTTATATTACTGTCGACCATCTTCCAATGCCTTTAAGCCTTCACCTCTAATTTGATTCCCCGCCTTCCAGACACATATTTGTTTCTTTTGCAGTGAGTTAAACATTTATTGAGAAAGCTGATCCATCTCAGGGAACAATTTCTTACATTTATTGTATCAGAATGAGTTTATATCATGTGATAATGCAGTTGTGAGCCAACACTGTTTTGAAAACTCTTCCTCGAGGTGCATTTAAAGAAGCTCCGAAATCAGATTGATTTTCTGACTACATACCTCATAACTGTAATTAGGTTTGCAATGCCATAACCCATTTTTACTTGTGTGTCTGGGAGGGATCAGATTACATTAGTTGGCGACGTCAGCTCACACACCAACATGAACTCTTTCCACACCTGTCTGAACCCACACACACACCTGCTGTATTTTGGTCTTTGCTTGCAGTTTTAAAACTGGAAAAACATGGCAGCTGGGCATTAAAAATTGGGTGTTTGGAGAGGAGATGGTTCGGCCTTTGCAGATAGGTCTTACATCTGGTGTGGATCAATTAATTCTCAGCGAGGGTTTTTCAGTCTTAAATCTTGAAGCTAAAATTTAATCTGGATTTAAGAGAAACATGTATTTCAGCAGCAGCGCCTAAAATATTCTTTGGAAACGCACTGAATACACTGTGAAGGAGTGTTTTCAAAGTACTCCCTGTTTGAAAATGCATTACCATGCAATAATAATGTCAAAAAAATGAAACCACTGTGATCGGTCTGTCTAATACAGCATTTATTGCCAACCAGGGCAATATGTTTACCCCAGGGAGTTTATCTGCAGTTTGCAGGAGGTGCATGGACAGGGAAATTGTATGAAAAGATAATTGCACCATATCCAGTTTAATAAAATAATTATTACCGTTAAATAACATCCAGTAAAATCCACTCAAAATAACATTTAAACATGATGGATGGTGACGATGAAGGGATATTTGAACTTGTCTGACAGAGCTGTGGGGTCTCAAGCACGACTCAGACATCTAACAGTCTTTCAAAGTGTATTCAACTGCATGAAAAACAATAGACAGCCTGGAAGATGGGAATCTACAGATATATAGTATAACATAAATTAATTGTAGTTAAAGAGCACTAATAAACAAAAACCTCTGGTATGGTCCTTGAAGTGAACTGAGTGTCCCTTTACATCCGCTCATGTTGTGGGTGAAAAAGGGGTCAGTGGTTCCTCTCTGACCCGCTCTCCCTCTGCACATTATGCACCTCCACAGATAGAGGAAGTCGTAACCACCAGCGAGGGGCGGATCGGCTTGCTAGGAGAATGGCGAGAGGTGCCCCCCTCCCTCAGTTTGGGAGTGCAGTGGTTTTTGTTTTTTTCCTCTCTTCATTTAATCTCTCTCTGCTTGTCAAAATGTAATAACTGATGATGGTCAAGTTGACAAGATAAGATTAAGGAGATTTTACTCACCGAATCACTGCAGATTAACAAAGGGTAGACGCGACAGCCGTCTTTTTCCCAAGTGGCAAGAGATGATTCCTTATCCTCTTTAAAAACATGACGATTGTAGAATTGAAGATGTAGAATAAGAGCTGATGTTAAATCTTAAAGATGAAGCTAATTCGAGTAGCAAATGAAAACAGTGGATAGGATTAGAAAACTGAGCTTGACAGTTCATTCTTTAGAAACAGCATTTAACAGCCTCAACTCAAGAGACACTTACTTGTGTGTCCTGAAGCTTTTGACCATATCCCATAGTCAGCAGGTGAAAGAACTGTTCAAGGTGTTTAAACTTTCCATTATATTATATAATTCTACCATTAGTCCGAGCACTTTAAGGACTTATAAAGTTGAGATTGACATTTATATTCTTGACATTGAAAACTCAAGTTCCACTTGCTCACTTATTCACACAAGAGGCCATAGAAATGTCCAAAATAAGACAAACTCCATCTGTTGACGCCACTGCACGCACTGTTTCCTCTTCTGCACCTGATTGGTCTCACGTGAAATTTGTGACACGGTTTGTAAATGTGTCACAAATGTTGTTGTGTGATCTGAGTGACGTGGTTTCCCTCTCCTGTTCCACCCCTTTCACTCTCCATTTAGCTCATTGTATTCCATACTAGTACAACATCCTGCTTTGTCACTGGTGAAGACATTTATACTAAATGCATTGTCCTGTATTTGCTTGACGTATTAGTAAGTAGTGAATGTTAATGTTGACTTTTTATTTCTTTATCTCAGTATATATTTAAGTATATATAGTATAATTAAGTTATATTGGAGTGTATTCATTTTTACCAGAAGAAAACAAACCCTTTCCTTTGATAATTTTATTAGCTATCTATTGCCAGATATTGTGGTAAATAAGTATACTGTGATGAAATTTGGGGTTTATTTTTGTCTCTGTGATATCAGCAACTGTTCTCACACGTCTTCTTTTTAGACCCAGAAAACCTTCCTGTGTCTGTTTCTCTCTTCCTTATCTCACCTCCATCCCAATCTTTTTCTTTTCTACATCTGCCAGGTTTTTACGCTGCTTGAAAGAGTCACAACATTAACGAGTGTGAGTCAGTTAGTGGCAAAGAGCCCACCTTGAGCCTCAAACCCATATAGCGGCAAAACCCGAGTGCTTTTTGACACCCCGCCTAACGTAGTTGCTGTCCTGTGCTTAGCCCAGCCAAAGCTACCTGAAACACAGCACCCTCTTCCTCGGTCTCTACCATTAAAGAAGTGATTCTTTTAGCAGGGCGTGCGGTCCTCTGACACGTCGAGTTGCATTAGCAGTCTTGTGGGATTTAAACGGGGGTTGGGGATGTCTACACTCATTAGCTGATGGCTCTAGTTAATGAGTTTGGTCACAGAAAGAGCGAGACAGACAGGCGTGTGGGAGGATAGTCATCACTCCTCAAAGACATCACTTCTCTTAATGGAACTGCTCCTTGTATTTAAACAAAGCCATTTCTGCAACTGGTCATGAAGGCATCACCTGGTGCTAACATCTATCTGTGCAAAACAAAACCTCCATACAAGCATTAGTGTTCGTACTGAAATTGTTCTCTGACTGTCAGATCTAAAAGCAGATCTGATGGCTGGCTTCATTTGGCTGCATCACGCCCAGGCAGAGGCATTCATGGCCATGCTACTGTAATCTGCCCACGTCTCTGCTTCTGTCCAAGGGGTATTTCACTGAAGCACAGCTGACGGCTTACTGTTTACATTTTTGCTTCCTCTGCCAGGTGCCTGAATGGACCAAATGCAGCAGCCGAGAGAAGAGGAAGGAGAAGAAAGTGGAGAAGCCGTTCTACTCGGACTCGGAGGGCGAGTCTGGGCCGACAGAGTCGGCTGACAGTGGTAACTTTAAGGGGGTGTTGGCTGCGTTGGTGCCATCACATCCTTTAGTCAAACGAGTAGTGTCCACAACAGATGTGTTTGTGTGTGTGAGCATGAGATTTTTGCTGAAACTCTGTGCAGCATACAGTATGGTGGTACATGGTTGGATGGCTGTGGCTCAGGAGGTAAAGCAGGTCGTCCACTAATCAGAAGGTCGGCTGTTCGATGCTGTGCATTGGTGTATGAATGCATATGAGTGAATTAGTTTCCCTTTGTGATGGACCACTGTGTGAATGTGGCATGTTGTGTACAGCACTTTGTTAGTAGAGTTCATTTAGTATCAATCTTCTGAAGTAGTACTAATAGAAGTAGTATTTTAGTACTTTTTAGTATTATGTTTGTGTCAGTAAAAAGTCATAATATTCTATTGAAACAAAAACTGAGTAGCGTTTATTAGCAGTGTTTACATTTGAGACATAGGAAAAATAAAAGACATAGACTTAAACCTTAAATGTCATGTTTACATCTGATAGTCTAGTCTTTGTAAAGATAAAAAATACTACTTACTTAAACCTTTACCGATGCTAATACAAGCCATCCATGACTTGCACCAAACTATTAATAACAAAATCTAAATATTGTGGAAAAACACACCATCATTAGAGCAGCTTTAGAGTTATCTTTCTAATTTCTGTCTTTAGTTATTTTTGTTGTGCCTCAGGAACGACCTGAGGAACTGAAAGTCTGTGAAAGTCAGTAGTGCCGCTTAATCTTTTTTATTCTTACTTGCCACTGGAAAAAAAATATGTGTCTGAGCCATTAATAATAAAAGGGTTAATAAAACATTTTTTTTTTTTTTCATTGGTGAATGTCAAGGAGCAAATAATGATCTCACAGATAAAGAAGTTATTTTAGAGTTGACTCTTGTGAGTGTGATCTTGATTCTTTCGATTGAGGAAAATTGTCTTGTGGTTCCTGTGTTTGTCCCTGGAGGTGTTTGTTTGTAAAAATATGTCACTGGATATGTTGTTTACCCTCTGACCCTTTTCCCTGTCAGAGTCGGACTCTGCCAGCGGCTCAGAAAGTGGCAGCGGCAGCGAGGAGAGCGGATCGGGATCAGAGAGCGTGGAGAGCGAGGAAGGCTCTGAGTCTGAGGAAGAGGAGGAGGATGAGGAGGAAAAGAACAAGAAGAAGAAAAAGAAAGAATTGAAGAAGCCAGTGCAAGAAAGCGAAAGGTAGCACATGGACTGTTGTCATTGACACTGCTGTAGATAAAAAGAGAACATGTGACTCCTTTTGAATTTAATTGTTGATCTTAATGTCTAAATTAAAGTTAAATTTATGATCCTTAGATGCTGAGTCAAATATCTTTATTTTTTCACATGCTTTCATTTTATACTGAATGCCGTATTTGTGTGGTCACTTTACTCTCTTCTGGGTGCCCTCATGCAGCCTGTTTCACAGATCCTGTATAATACATCTCTTCTAATAATAACTCTGGGATTCTAATGGGAACTTTGCTTTCCTTTCCAGCGAGCAGAGCAGTGAAGAAGAAGAGAGGAAGCCCGAGAGGAAGAGCAAACAACGTAAGAGCGACTCAGAGTCTGAATCTGACGAAGAGGAGAGCGAGTCTGAAAGCAGCCAATCGGAGTCTGAAGACTCTGAGTCTGAAGCAGAAATCAAAAAGAAAAAAAAGGTATTGATACTGCGTCCACATTAATACAAGCAGGTGAAATCAGGACCTTATCTGTATCTGAATAAAACAAAATTGAAACAGTCTTCTTATGTTTGACTTTGACCAAAAATTCCTGTATTTGCTGCTCTACCTGCACATAGGAACATAAAAACTACAAAGCATTCATGTCAGTTTTCTTTCATCTCCTTCCAGGCAGCTGAATCCAAACCTCCTACCAAACCTGTCAAGAAAGAGAACAAGAAAGAAAAGAAAGAAATGTCTCTGCTCGACCTTGATGATTGTGAGTATTTCCGTCTCTGTACGCTTTCTGCTGTGAAGGTGAATATAAAAGTAATTACCTTCACCTCAGTCAATGGACAAAGACGTTTGCAAACCATGTGATTATTTCCAAAAATCCCAATAACCAACTCTTCTGGTAATCAAGGAACTATAAGAAAAAACCTGATGAATGAATACAGTCAGGTCTGAGTCAAACTCTTGTCTCTCTTCCCAGTTGAACCTGCTCCTTCTCCTCAAGTTACACCCGTCAACACCTTCCTGTCCAACAGCCTTGTGACCGACCTGGAGGGACTGTCTTTGTCTGACACCGTTCTTTCCCCAGCAGTAAGTACTTTACCTTTCCTTCATCTTCCTGCTTAACATCTTCACTCTATTCTCGAAAAGATGATGCAATACAAGATAGATAGATACAATATACCGTATACAACAATGTTGAGTCCTTTATCCTCACTGCTACACTGCTGCCTACTTACCCAGACCTCCTCCTGTATTAGCATTTAGTTGTATGTGAATTTTAAATGTTTTAGTGATGTATTTATGTTGGTTAAATGTTGTGTATCTCAGTCAGTGGGATATGTGAGCTCAGGAACAGTCTGTGTCAAGCCTGCTTAGATTTGTTGCAGAGCAACAGTCACAGTGCCAAACTAAAATGGATATTGCTGCAATAAATATTTAAAATGTTGACATTAGTGTCCTGTCTGTACTGACGGATCGAAAAAATACTGAAGGTGCCAGTTATTAAAGTCAAAATGTTAAAACTCAGCACCGTGAAATCCTCTAAACAGGATGAACCAGATAGTTCAAATGATGGAAAGGAACTGTTCATCCAAAGGCAAAAATAATGTACTCCAATATACATAAGATAATCTCTCTTTGGTTTTGTCCAAATTATACCACTTCACTCTCACCCCAGTGTTGACTAGTTGTAAATAACTCGACTTAAAGTCACTCTTACAGATCAGAAACCATTTACGAAGTCCAGTCAGAGAGAATCAGTAGGTTAAACAATTAATATTCAGCTTACTTTCTAGTTTGCCAAGACATGCTGATGTTATGATATTAGCTACAGTAGCAGGAGGGTTGAGAGTGTCGCTGTCTGGAGCTGGTGAAACCGTCTCATCCTCTCTGCAGGTTAGCTGGGCAGCAGCAACTTTAACTACAGTTTGAAAACCCACGAAATAGCTTACATTAGTTACGTTACTTGCTGCTGTGTTGTTGTTTGCACTAACTCATAGTATTTGTCATGGAATCAGATTTCTCCAGAATCCTACAAGCCTACAACATCTTTTCTTTACCATAAACATTTTTTTGTATCTGTCAGTGGCACTGTACTACTGACTGCACACACACAAAATAATATCTTGAAATCACTCTTGGTGGCTTCTTAATAAATATTTGACCGAAAGATGATCTGAAGTTGTTTGAGATCCTGAAGAAAATGCCTTCAAAATGTAATCAGACCTTGAGCGGTGTACTTGCTGCGAATGGATGCCTGTTGCTGAGCTACTGTTTTTCTTTTGCCTCTCAAATCAAACGTAACATTTGGACTACGTGTGGCTTCTGTTTTGTTCATGTATGATAAATTAGTAGCTGTACAACCGGGCTTGATAAGGTTGTTAGTAATAAACAAAGAGTATTGTGGAAACCCCAGTGCCAGCGTGGCTGTGAGTTTATCTTCTCAACCAAGAAACACAGACCCAAAATAAATAAGTTTGTATGACAGAAAAAAAGTTTAAAAAAAGGGTATCATGTTCCCCACTCTGTCCACCAAGACCAAGAAAGTAAATGAAAAGATATTTGAAAAAAGTAAGGAAGTCTAAACATCTGTTTGGATCTTTGTACTTCCTAACAAATCAATGTACCAATCAGTGCTAGTGTGAATACCTAATTGAGGATATTTACTTCAGAAATATAATGAAAAATATAGCTGATGCTAACTGACATCAACCCTTTCTGAAATAAAGCTCTTAGCATTAACGATTCTTCATCTCGTCCTCTGCCTGCAGACCATCGCTCCCTCCAGTGCACTGAAGAACTATGAGCTGCTGCACCGGATTACGGGGGAGGGTCTGTCGGTTGAATACTGCTTCAGCCGACAGCCGTTCAGCCCTGACGCGAACATGGTGGCAGTGCAGATGCAGTTCACCAACAACGCCACCTCCGACACCAAGAACCTGCACATGGAGGACGTGAAGCTCCAGTCTGGGATGAGGGTCAAAGAGTTTCCAGAGATTGGTGAGTGACAGGCTGAAGGGGACTGAAGGGACATTAGTATTAATGTTGCTGTTATTAAAAACAAACGTAGCAGAAGCTGCAGTGTTACTTAGTTACTCCTGTTGTTAGAATCTTACCAGTAGTGGGGATAAAAATGTTATGTTATGTTATAAACTGTTGTATTGGAGCTGTGTCCCCACCATTCACAATTGATTTTAACTTGCACACTCCAAACAGTCTTTCTTAGTATCCATACCGACCACACTTCTCCTGTATGATCAAAAGCTGCTTGGGGTTGGTATGTAGTAATGGAATTGGGACGTTCGATTTTTCAGTGAATCTCATGTAAGACACCACGCAGTCGGCGGTGAAAGGACACGTATTTAATCTCAGATCAAAGAGTTGCTGACTTAAGAGCTCCTTTTGTTGCGGTGTGTTGACAGAGCTGCTGCCAGCAGGTGAGACGGCCGCAGCTGTGATGGGCATCGATTTCTGTGACTCAACACAAGCGGCAAACTTCCAGCTTTGGTGAGATGGATTCTGTGTTTTAGCTTTTCAGCGCCCTGCAGGCCTCTAATAGACGTACTGTGTGGAAATAGAAACATGACTGATGATGTAATGGAGATTTTTTTTTAAAATAAATTTGCTGAGTTTTGAAATTACACTCACTTCTGTAGGCGTATTTGTGCCCCGTGTGCAGCACCGAGGAAACAAAAAAACCCCCAATATTATTGCAAGTTCAGAAATTCCGCTGTCCTTTTAGAAAAATAATACGAATTCCTGAAATGTCTCTCTCCCTTTTCAGCACCCACACCAAGAAATTCTTCGTCTCAATTCAGCCGCCGGTTGGGGAGCTGATGAGGCCTATCTTTCTGACAGAGAACGAGTTTAAAAAGGAGCAAGGTGAGAGTTAAATGGAAATTAAATAACTTGATTAAGTAATATAGAATATAAAAACACAATGACTAAACTGCCATCACATGAAAACAAGTCTCTAAAAATGGGAAAGGGGAGTCAGCCACTACTGTGTGTCTGTAATGTGTGGAAGTTGATACACAATTCATTTATTTAGTTTTTCCTTTATTGTCATTTATTATTTCAGAAAAGTAGTTTAATGTCCTGTAGGCACATACAGTATATGTAGTCCTTTTTTCCAGTATTTTACATATTGATTAAATCATAATCTTATGGTAAAGATAAATTTCTCCTCACAAGTTATTTCACTGACAATTGACATGAATAATAGCATCAATATAGGATCTTTTAATATACACCTGCTTTGTTTAAGTAAATCAGACCCTTGTTTACTTTGAATGATCGCTCCAGAAAGAGAGGATCACCTTTGTTGATGAAAGAGACTCTGATGTGAACATTCAATAACTGAATATAAAATAGGTCCAGTGATAAAAAGACTGTAACAAGGTCAACAGAGGAGGAAACAGTGTGTTACATTTACAATAGGAAAGAACAAAATCACTTTAATCTTCTATCACAGTCAGCATTTATTTTAAGATCTTTACCCGTGATAAAAGCTGTGGATACTTTATGTCCATCATATGTTACCTTGAAATAAATGCCTGTAATTAGACAGGTGACATCACTCATACTGTTTATTTTTGCGCTTTTTTAAAAGTATGCTTGTATTTAGAGCAACATTTAGTCACATTGTTTGTTTTGTATTCTTTTATCATTGCCCTGTGATAATCACAGCAGTATACAGTCACATGAATAATCACTGTGTTGCATGATGTTTCTTTATTTCAATGGGAAGCCTTGATCACCTTTTAAACTGCTGCAGAATAGTTTCATCGTTGCAGAAGATTAAGGGTCCGTCTCAGTACCCACACTTGTGATATTAGTCCAATGGCTGTGTGAGATGTTTGCAGTAACCATCATATTGCCTGTTAAGACCTCCAGCCTGTTGAGATCTATCACAATTTCCACATATTGTACAAATAAAAACATACAGTATTGCAGTTACATTCAGATGATGGTAAAAAAGAAAGGAGTATTTTGCTTTATAAAGACATTCAATCAAGTTATCCAAAAGCACATAGCTCTACTGAACTTAAAAGAGAACTATTGTTTTATTTTAAAAATTATGTTTCTGTAACATTTTTAAGGAATTAACATGTTTTTCAAAATTATTAATAATAAGATAAGATAGAACTTGATTTATCCTGAGGGACATTGTGGTGCAATAGTTGCAGTACAAAGTAGGAAAGAGTGCAAACAATGAAATATTATTAAGGTACAAATATAAACATATCAGTAAACAGGTATCCGTAATATATGCAAAGCCAAATATATATAAAGGTTAATAGTAAGGATCATAAGTTGCTCATATCTCAGGTTGCTAACATTTACCATTTTTATCTAGAGTCACATTCAATGTTGAACCACTATGTTTCTACAGTAGCCCAGCAACTGGACTGATGTTGTACAGTAGTGGTGAATTATAGGATAGCCTCTTATTGGTGTTCATCAAGTGTGGGACATAATTAAGACCGCAAGTGTGGGCACTGGGACGGATCCTGAGTGGCCACTTTAAATACTCCAAAATCCTACCGGTGTTCGGTAGAGCAGCTACAGACAACAGTGACCGGCATGTTTCTGTTGTTTGGTGTTCATTTCTCATCCTGACTAACACTGAGCAGGTTTTGAGCTAACAAACCCATAGTGACTCTTTAAACATGTGTCATATCCACGGTTCCTCCCTCTTCGTACTGTCCTCAATAGAGAAGCTATTACAGAATCTAGGTAAGTTGGCTTTGATAGATTTGTTTTTCCCAGTCATCTGTGTGCCCACCTGCCATATAGCCAACCTCAACCTCACACAGACCCTCCCACCCCCCGCCACTCCCCTCCTCCTCCTCCTCTTTCCTCTAACGCCTCTTGCTGACTCCCCCTCCTGCCTTGGTAATCAACACTTAACTGCATCTCCAGGTCTGTAGCTGCAGACAGACTCACCTGTACTAACATGCATCTTATAAAGGCCGCTCACACTCTGCTACGCCAGGAATGACTGGAAATGCTCATCCACTGATCCCGATTCACTTGTCAAGCACCATGTGAACAAACAGTAAACGCATCAGGCTCGGAGCAGCACTTGATCATGTGTACCATCGCTCATATTTCTGTTACCTGAGCTTTCAAGCTGCTGATAACCACTGACCATGTTGGGAATTTGAGGTGTTACAATATCAATGGGTTTTTTTAATGTTAATAATTGGTAGGCACAGATTGTTTTTGGTACTTGCAGGTCAAACGATATATTAAGCTTTGAGTAAGAGCTTGTTTTAGACATCTTGGTTTCAGTGACTATATTTCAACATGCAACTGACAATTATTTTGCTGATTATTTCTTGACTAATTGATTGTTTGTTTAGTCCGGTGTTTTCAATTCTTTTTGGCTCAGTACCCCTTAAAACAAAGCTTTGTAGTTTCTGTTAAAGTTTTTTTTGGGGGAAGGATAATTACCTGTCACAATTCCCCATAACCCAAACTGATGACTTCAGATTGTTTGGTGTGACCAATAGTCCAAAAATGCATTAAAATTGTTAAATGATGTAAAGCATTTAAGAAGCTGGTAACAGCAAATGTTTGATGCATTACATAAACGATAATTCAATTAATCAAATTGTTGTTCATGAATTTGCTGTCAAGTGAATAATTGTTCCAACACTGGTTATTCTTCACAATGAAATATAGTCATTCTGTAAAAGCTCAGTAAATAACCAGGTTTGACTCAGAGACGAGCAGATTAGGTAAAAGGTGCGGTGCTGGGCAGAATGAGTGGAAATGGGCTGACATCTGCAGGCATGCTGAGGGTAAGTGGGAACAGGTGAGCAGGTGGGCGGGGAAGGTCAGGTGATGGGAAAGTGAGGAAGAGGGGGGTTTACTGCAGGGCAGGAGGGAGCGGCTGGATCTGAACTGACTGGAAAGTTTGCATGTGACACAGCAAACAGCAGGCGAGAGAATGTGTAACCAGGAGCTGGCTGGAGTTTAAGTGACACATGATGGTACATGTAATTTAGATGTGAAGAATGTCTCCATGTCTTTTGACCTGCAAGTCTCCAAAATCAATGCTTAGCGGGTAATCAGTGTTCATTCATAAAGAGAAAAAGTTGTTTGGTGCAGAATCTCTTCCGAGGCTTCAAACTCGGCTCGTAGTGCACAAATTTGCCTCTTCATTACTTTGAATTGACCATAAAAGAGTCACTCCTCTACTGTGTTCAGTGGGAAGCACCAGTGCATTCCAGTTTAAGTTTCAGTGGCATTTTGTAATTATTGATGTATTGAGTATTACATCATATAAATCGCTGTAGTGTTAGCCATATACAGTATACAGTATCTTTACTGTATATGTCTGTAGCTGGTAGATATCCTGAAAAATAATTGATTGATATATACTTGATATATAAAACAGCACCCTGATGCTGGACAAGCAGCATTCTTATTTATCGATGTATTATTATTAACTTGCTTTGCATTTTATCCTACTGAGAGAGAGAAAAGAAGCATCAGCTAACTTCAGAGCTTTCCAGTTTGACCAGTGCTCTGCTCGATCCTCTGCAGGTCAGCTGATGGGTATGAATGAGATCACGGAGAAGCTAACCCTGGACGCAAAGTGCCGGAACGAACACGCCATTGTCCAAAGGGTGACCACCGCCGCCAATCTCAGCAGAGTGCCCTGTGGGTCAGATAAAGAGTGCAGGTGAGGGGATTCAAATTGGTGTGTTTTGTACCTCAGGGCCGCCGTACTTGCTCCCTTCCAAAGTTTTTTCTGCGTCATCATCCAACAATACAGCAAGTTTACTGAATGAAGGTTTTAAGTGTAAAAAGATGTTGTGAGACACTCATTAGGTTTTCAGGTCAAAGTTGACAGGATAGCTGCATCGAGTAGCAGTTTACTGCTATGACTTCAAACATTGCAAAACACAAAGGGAACATTTATCATCTCTCTACGTTTTGCTAGTACTGTATCAGTGGTATAATTCTATAATTGGAGTGCCTTCATTTGGCCAGATGTTTTAAACACAGACAGTTTACATACAGAACTGAGAGTTATTAATTATTGATGTTCATATTATGCTTCAGTCCTTTTGACCATAAAAAAATTAATGATAAGAATTTATCAAAAATCACCACAATCACAAGACCTGAGACATGAGAATATGTTCGATTTATTTAAATTTAATAAATATTTTAATAAATGTCTTAACACATTGGAATAAAGTTAGTGTGTAAGTCTTAATGACTGAATCAAACTGAATCTGTGGTGAAGCAGGTTTGGCCATCCATAGTTAGAAAATCTGAGTTAATGGTGTGTTGATTTTAACACAGAGTGAATATATTATGGTCATTTAGCCTTTTCACTTAATTTTTAGTGCCAGTATTTGGCCTGTCAGGGTTTTGCCTAAATCAGAGAGCATTTCAACAGCCAGGACCACAGATAGATGAACGGGCAGAGATACTTGTTCATAAACTTGTCAAAAGCTGCTGATTGACACATTTGTATCCCATCTTTATTTCTGTGGCTTCGTCTTTACTTCCATTCTTTTGCTGCTTTGACTTCAGTCCTCCTGTTCCTCCTCCTGATCATCCTATCCACAGGTTCGCAGGCAGGACGGTGACCAGCAGCAGCTTGGTGTTGGTCACCGTGGCGACCAAAGAGGAAGGAGCCGCCCAGCTGACGGTCAACTGTGAGAAAATGTTGATCGGCACCATGCTGGTGAAGGACATCCTCCTGGCTTTGACACAGTGACGTGTGTCGCGACATTTTTGCCCTCTGCCCCCTCTCACATATCGTCCGAGACTCATCACACTTGTAGCATCTCCTCCGTTCTCCTGTAAGCAGTGAGGAAGTTTCCAGAATGTTTAATCCCAGTTTGTTGTTTGGTTCAAGAACCCTCTACTTTAAGAAATGTGACAGTTGTTGACAATCAGACATGACTGATGTTGAACCTGATATGAAATCCATCTCCCCCCTTTTAAAGTTAATTTAAATATTTATAATTAACATATTTTCCTTCCAATTGGATTTATTGGACTCCACTTTCTGAGTCAACACAAAAGAGATTTTTGCATCTTTTAAGTGTTCAAAACCTTAAATTTTCTTCCACTTAATGTTATCAAAGCTTTCGACTACATCTCGTGGTTTATTTGTATAGCACCTTTCAACAACAATGCAATTCAAAGTGTTTAACATAAGACATAAAAAGGCATTAAGACAAGATATGAAAGAAACATACAACAATATAGGAATATAAGAAGAAAAAAACGAAGATAGAAAAAAGCCCAAAAATATCAAATTAATAAAGTCACAGTGCAGCTACAGTGCAGTGCAAGAAATGAATGAAATGTATTAAATTTAATAAATGACAGTGGCAAACAAAACGTTTCAAGACTTAAAGTAAAAAAAAAAATGGAGAGTTAAAACAGACCTTAAGTTTTCTAGCAGTTTGTTCCAGATAATGTGTAAAAACTGAATGTTGTTTAGTTAAAAGTCTGGTCGGCTCATTATGTAGCAGCCGATCAAAGACGCACCCTGGAAACAGAGAACATCAGCTGCCTTTGGTACACTACACTTAAAACGTCATGTTGTGACCATATGTACATACTTAGGTACCTAGATAACAACTGTGCAAACTCCATCTGTTGAGGAAGGCTACGAGACAAAGTTAGTGAACCTTTCAATAACAGTATTTTCAGATAATACAAAAAACAGTCCCGCTTCATTCATAGCATTTAGTTTAGTTTCTGCTGGACATGAGTTTTGATTAAATTATTTACAAATAAGGTGCCCAAGTAGGTTATTCTTTATTCTTTCTGATAAGTGGGAGCACAAATCTTTTAGTTTTTAGCTTGTTAGTTATTAGCTTTGAGACTATTTTAGGATGTAGATAACATAAGTAATAGATTATATACTAGGTATATATCCCCCAAAACATGTACATACAATAAGTGAAACCAGTAAAAATCAAATACTCATTCAGTTATTTGTCATTACTTGAATGTAGCATGAAGGCTCGACTGAGACAACAACTACCTATAACTGAATCATTCCATTTTGGCACAATAAACATTGTTAATCAATAACTCTCCCGGGAATAACGAAGGATTTTCATCTCAGATTCTGCGATGTTAGCGTTTGCCTAACTGTCATTGTGCACATGTTCATTACAATAAGTGGGGCATTTCTAAAAACTGAAGATGTATAAATGTTATTATATGTATTGCAACATGTAATACAATAAGTAAGGTGTGGTGTGTCTGAGTGTGTGTGTGTCTGAGTGTGTGTGTGTGTGTGTGTGTGTGTGTGTGTGTGTGTGTGTGTGTGTGTGTGTGTGTGTGTGTGGACGACACTGAATATTGACCTGGCAAACATTAACTAGCTGTTTTCAAAACGATTCAAAATGACGCTTGACTTGAGATCATCATGAAGCCCATTATAATGATCAGTCCACAGGACAGTAAGTAAGGACTCATACGAAGACTAAAACATGATCTTACATTTAATTATAGATTCATAAATGTGCCTGACAAACTAATCTACTTAACATTAGTCACCACATTCGGGGCTTCAGTTAGCTGATTACTTAATAGTTTCAATATTAAGTAATCAGCTAATTCTTTAACAATTCATCCTCAGAGAACATCTTCCTCTCCAAAACCCAGAGTTCCACTTAATAACATAGAAAATTAAGAAAACTATATTTACATTTTAAAATCCAGAATGTGATTTCCATTAGAGAATGAATGATAATTAGATTAAAACAGTGCTTATGATAATGTCAAACACTTTCAAGTTGAGTGTTACCTCGATCTCATTTGTCAGGCAACACTGTTTTCATGCCTTTTATTATATCTTGATTTCAGGTCAGAAGTCATGTGGCTTCTCTTTTGTTACGGACCCTCATGTGTCCAGTGGCAGCATGTTTCTTATCTTTAACACATTGTCTGTGTATTTATTTATTCATTGTTTCTTTACTGTTGGAAAATGTAACAACCAAAGGAGTACATTACAGTCAGACGTCAGCACTCGTCGTGGAAAACTGAGCAGCAGCAGTGGACGGTTTTATTTTGGCCTTTTTTGTATCTGTTGCGTTGTTTACCATTGAACCACTCACACCTGAAATTTCCAGTCACTGCAAACACAGTCATGATAAAGAATGTAAAGAATAAGAAATTTTAATGTAAAAATCTACTGAAAAAGAGACAGGAACCACTGGATAAACCTATTCTCCAAATCATAATTCATGTCTGGCAATTTGTTTTTAATCTGCATCAGCTTTCAAATATCCAAAGTATGGTTTATCATACTCTGTGTGTGTGGTTGTGAAATGTGATCCTGAAGTATTACAAGTTTATTTATTATACAAATAAAAATGACAGATACATTGTCACGTGTCTTTTGTCTTATGGTCTGACAAATAATGAAAAACCACTGGTCTGCAGTACCGTCATACCTCAAACTCTAAAACATTTCAGAGGACATTGGAAAGTAACTAAGTTCATTATTTTTATTCTAATACTTAACTATATCTCAGAGGGAAATATTGTACTTTTCACTACATTTGGCAGCTCTATAGACTGATATTTTACATGAACAAAACATATAAGTGTACATATAAGTACACATATATATATATTAAATATAATGCTTTAAGGGCACCCGGTAAGCTCAGTGGGTAGAGCTGTTGACCCATGTACCGAGGCTGAGTCCTTGCTGCAGCGGCCCAGGGTCTGAATCTGACCCGCGGCCCTTTGCTGCATGTCATCCCCTCTCTCTATTCCCCTTTCCTGACTATCTTCAGCTGTATCTATCATAAAGGCAATAAAAGGCCAAAAAAATAACTTAAAAAAAAAAAAAAAAAATATATATATATATATATATATATGTTTTGCCTAAGATTAAACCAGTGGTTTCACCTCAACCAGCTATAACAGTAAAATGCTGTTTACACATTTACAGTCTAATAATGTATAATAATAAATCCCAGGGGACATTTTACTGCAGATCAAGGACTTCCACTCTTGATACGTTTAGTACATTTTGCTGATAACAATAAAAATAATACATACTTTTACTTCTTTGAATGCAGGACTTTTACTTGCAGTTTAGTATTTTTCCACCACTGGTGTTCAGTAAAACCTGAGTTGTAGGAGAAATGACACCAAAACACAGCTGGGATGAACAAAAGTAGTGTTTATTGATTAAGACAATAGACACAGTATTTTGACACCCGTCTGAAAACAGGCAGCTCTACAGAAACACTGATGGGAATATGAGCTAGCAGCAGCGTGGTTGAAATAAAGGTTTCTTCATCTGTAGCCATTTTGGTCCTTTTACAATGACTGTGATGTGAAATTAGCCATCTTTGGTTTTTCCACAGGAATGCTGAGCTGGTTGGTCCAGTTTGCGCAGGAAAATGACAGAAAGGGTACAGAAAGAAACACTTTCACAGGGAAAATGAGTTGCATAGATTTACACATTATTTTTATAATTATTACTTGGAGTTAAAAAAAAAAAAAAAGACACTGATGATTGTTTTGGCAAGTATCGTACAACAGCTGTGCAGGTCAGTGAACCTGAAAACAGACATAAAGGCCCTTTACAGAATAAATTATAAACTAAAACAAATTGTGTAGGAAAAATGTGGAATGTGCAGCATTTTCTTCCTGAAATAATCCGAACTAATAGCACCCAAAACTCTAAACTGAATAATCAGATGGAAAAAGCCTGAAACATCCTTGGAGAACTCTTTGACTTAAAAGGCGACAGAAACAAAGAGACTTTTATAAATGAGGGCCATATAGGCCTCTAATCTAATCACTGATTATACTGTACTCTTATACCCTTTTCTGAATTTTCTGGAGTTTAGGGATAGACAAACCTTTTAATGGTGTCCTTGAAAGTTCATACTCTGACGTCTGGGAAGGATTTTAATCCTCACGAGCTCACAACAGACATTGTAGTGCATTTCTTTTTCTCTTACTCACTTTCCTGAGTAGTAAATCTTAGAAGCTGGAGAGAGCCCGCTGTCTTCTGAAAATGATTCTCATTGTTGGCATTTTAAATGAAGCACCATAAAAAGGCACAGAGAGACGACAGAAGGCACGGGATTCAAACATCCTCTGGGAGCAGAAACAGGAGATATAAAGGCAACAACCCTCCAGTATGCTTCCACAGTAAGGGGATGTTTGCTAATAATTTATTAATTTAAAATAGCACGAGGTAGAGTCTGAGCGATCAGGTGAGCTCAGTCTGTTTGGTTTGTGGAAGCAGAAGAGCCACCAGTCCTCCCGTCAGCAGCAGAGCCGACACCAGCAGGATCGGTACGGCACAGTTCGTGTCCACCAACTTTCCAAAGACTACGTTACCCATGATCGCTGCCACTCGACCCACTCCTGTGAAGAACCCAAGAGCAGAGGACCTGAATGAGAGAAAAAAAACACCAGAACATGTGAGTAGCTGTGGGCGTATTTACTAAAAACAGAGCTCATTTAATAAGTGGATAACCTCACATTCTCCCTAGTACTTCTTGATTTTAAGGGCCGTATGAAAACATAATCACAGCATTTCATTTATTTCTGTGAAGAAAACTAAAATATATATATATTTTTTTAAGTTTAGGTATTATTTAAGATTTAAGCCTGTTAAGTATTTATGATTGTTGAAAGAAAAACAAACAATACAGACAATTGTATTCACAGGAAATCTGCTCAAAATTCAACCAAATTGCTCATTTTACACAAATTTAAGATTATTGCATTCACTAGTTGGGTTCATTGTACAGTTTATCAGTTGTTCTGTACTAGTATTGTTACACGTTGAATAAAATATAAAACATCCATAAAATATGTCACTTAGTCAGGGGTCGTCAGTTTACTGAAAAGGAAAAAAGGTTGGGAACCACTGGATTAAATAAAAAATAAAACATATTAACATAAATCATATCATATATAATTTAATAGAGTTCAAATGAAGAACTGGAAGTACCAAAAACAAGGACATTTCTTTCAACAGTGGAATCAAAGTGTTTTGGCTTGTGACCCCTCATCACAGGTTACATCCTGCTGTCTTAAGTTCACCCATTTGAAGGGTCTTGGATGTCTGAGGAGGTAAAAGCATCCACTATATTACAGGGAGAAAGCAATGTTCACTTTTATGAACTTTGCTGAACTTCAGCTGAGTTTTAAGAAAAGGTACCGTAGCTGGGTCGGGTAGAGCTCTGTTCCCACCACGTCCAGGGCGTTCCAGGCGATCACAGACACGCCGCTGAAGACACACGACAGGATCAGACTCTGGCCTTTGGTCTTGACCACATAGATGAGGAAGACGCTCAGACTGGATACCAGCAGGCTACAGGCTGGAGACACAACAAAGAGGTGAGACATCGTTCAAGGATCCAAGGCGAGAAAACTGGCGTGTTATATGCACAGACACTTCTTGGCAGCAGGACCTCGTGATATCTCCCTCACTTTCTCCTCTAGTCAGTCTAGTCTAGTCAGCTGCATATGGTTAATGGTAAAGTTCGATAGCAGGTTTTAGAGATGCTGGGGATTGGATGACTTCCCTGTATCTTATAAAACTAAACCCTCCAAAACAAGGTCGAGTTAGCACCTCTTGAGATTAGATTAAAGTGGAAAAAAATCCCATTCTTCTATTGAGCTTGAGGAGAGTGAATCATAACGTCTCCTAAATGAAAGTGAAATACCATTTTATAGACATCAGACTCACAGAGTAGAGTTTTTCCTCCTGTGCTGTCCATCATAAGGATGGTGAAGATGTTTCCTGGTAAGTTTGATGCAGCGATGAAGAAGCCTTCCATATACACTGTCAGGAGAGGAATAGATACAGGAAGGTGAAGTGAGGACAGCAACAATAACATCCATTCATATATTGTAAACTGCATATAGACTGTGTGAGTCTTTCTTATGGTCTTCATGACTTGCTTTTGTTTGACAAGTCTTGTAAGTGTGTTCCTTATTGTATTATTTTATTGTGCGGTTTCCTTGTTCTTACCCGTCAAGGGACTACAGATGCAAATTAGCTTTTTTTTTGTACGGTACATCAAATGGTCACATTTATGTTTTAAACTGTACATGGTCCCTTTTAAATAAAACAAACCTAGGGAGAATTTACCCAATTCAGCCGAGCAGCATGTCTCTGGACTGAAAAATAACATTGTCATGTTCACAGGGAGAAACAAAAATGTTAAAGGAGCACTTCCGTGAGATGCCTGAATTTCAAATTCAACGTACCAAAGCAGTTCAGCTTTTAAAAGAACTACATTTACTGAGACAACAAACAAAGTGACCTCCATGTGTCTATGATCCAAAAATACCCCGAGCACAGCGTCTTTTATTTTGTCCTGGTTAATTTTTATCCTACCTTGTGTAACCTTTGTTTTTTCAAAACAAAACCTCCACGTTATTAATACCAATTCAACATAAATTATTAAGTCTAATTTTATAAGATGCTGAGAGAATATATCTGTACTCGGGTGCCTGGTAATGGTTCTTTATTTTAACCTCATTCCCATGTTCTGTTTTCTTTCTGTGGATGAGATATGAATGAGGCTGTGTTTGCTGACTGGAAGGAGAAGATAGCTGATGGCGGTAAAATCTAACATAAATTCTTTGTCATCCCAGATACACACCTGCTGTCTTGACTGGGTAGCAGCTTTTGTTGTGGAGTGGAGACGGGAGAGACACGTTGGCACAGGGCGAGCCGCCGTCCTCAATTCTCTCAAACAGCTCTGGAAACCACATCCAGAGCCCATAGTAACTACAAGAACACACACGAACACACACACAACACACACACACACACACACACACACACACACACATATTTATATATAACATTTATTTCCAACTGTTTGATTAATAAATGTATCACTGCAAACTGCAGCACAAATGCAAACCTCTTTCAGAAATGTACATACATTTAATATTTACAAGCTTCTTTCAGTTAAGTAACATGATTTCTGGTTGTTGAAGATAAAATATTTGCAACGGTTATCTCACTGCCTGCTGTAGACTTATCGCATCAGCAGTGCTGAAATACACATGATAAATACAACAAATTCGACAACAGAGGAATAAAGTCTATATATAAACGGAAAGATGGGACTTCTCACCCGAAGGAGATGCAGTAGAAGATGATGAGCAGAACGATGCTCCTGGATTTGAGAGAACCTTTAAACATCAGTTTAATAGGAAGTAAGCCCTGCAAACCAAACCAAAGAAATGATTTAGAACAAGAATGGCATATAAAAGAGAAATGATGTATCATCAACAAGCAAGAGAACACTGTCATTAAAAATGAATCATCAATAATGAATATATATATTAATGACTACTTCACAAGGCTGAATTACCAAACGGGGGCAGC